CCTAGTGTGGTCGTGTGTATTGTAACATTAAGTTAGTAAGTGTGGTCGTGTGTATTGTAACATTAAGTTAGTAAGTGTGGTCGTGTGTATTGTAACATCAAGTTACCTAGTCTGGTCGTGTATGTTGTAACATCAAGTTACCTAGTGTGGTCGTGTGTATTGTAACATTAAGTTAGTAAGTGTGGTTGTGTATGTTGTAACATCAAGTTACCTAGTGTGGTCGTGTATGTTGTAACATCAAGTTTGATTGTTTTGTTGCCGGGTGTAATGGATTGTTAAATGTATTATGTATGAGTCTACTTTAGTTTTAAAGGAAGAACGTTCTGGCGGGCACTTGAAAAATTTAATTAGTTCCAGCTTAACATAGTTTATCTTCAAGAAGATTAGTCTCCGAATGTATTTCTCCATCATTCGAAGTATCTCTAACTGTTAAAGTTTGACACAGAATGTCCTGAGACACTGTCACAAGTAGATGTCATCACCCCACGTCAGTACTTCAAGTTAATAAAAGTTTTAACGTACTTCAGATTCCTCGTGACACAGAATGTCATGAGACACTGTCACGAGTACATGTCATCACCCCAAGTCAGTACTTCAAGTTAATAAAAGTTGTAACGTACTTCAGATTCCTCGTGACACAGAATGTCCTGAGACACTGTTACAAGTAGATGTCATCACCCCAAGTCAGTACTTCAAGTTAATAAAAGTTGTAACGTACTTCAGATTCCTCGTGACACAGAATGTCCTGAGACACTGTTACGAGTAGATGTCATCACTCCAAGTCAGTACTTCAAGTTAATAAAAGTTGTAACGTACTTCAGATTCCTCGTGACAAAACTTCCAGATGAGTTAAGTAGGTCCTTCTGATTTCATGACTCGTACAATTAGTAGAAAGATGACCCTTTGTGGGAATATGTAGTTAGATCTGTCGCCATTATGTTAGATCTGTCACTACTATATTACATTTATCACGCTATATGAGATCTGTCATTGCTATATTAGATTTGCCACAACTATAATAGATCTGTGGTCACTATATTAGATTTGCCACAACTATAATAGATCTGTGGTCACTATATTAGATCTGTTGCCGCTATAATAGATCTGTCACTGCTATATTAGATCTTTCGCCGTTATAATAGATCTGTCGCCACTATATTAGATCTGTCACAACTATAATAGACCTGTTGCCACTATAATAGATCTGTCAACACTATATTAGATTTTTCGCCGTTATATTAGATCTGTCACCACTATATTTGATCTGTCACTGCTATATTAGATCTGTTCACTGTCCACCGCGGAGAATCGAACCCCAGATTTTAGCACTTACCGCTGACCCGCTAACAGACCTTTTATTATGATGTACAACTTTCCAGCATACAAACCAACAAGAAAACGATTTTTTTCCTTCCTTAGTGTTTCATTATTATGTACTTCTGTAAGAAGCTTTAATTCTTTGCAGAAACCACTTTCCAGCTTCTAAGCACGTTTGAACGTTTGTTTGAATTTTCCTAATTTAGCAGTGGAAGACTAGAAGGAAGGAAACTAGTCATCACCACCCACCGCCAACTCTTGGGTTACTCTTTTACGAACGAGTAGTGGAATGACCGCAACATAATAACGCCCCCACGGCTGAAAGGGCGAGCATGTTTAGTGGGACGGGGATTCAAACCGGCTACCCTCAGATTGCGAATCGAGTCCCTAACCACCTGGCCATGCCGGGGCCCCTTCTAAGCAATCACACAAAGTTGAAATTATATTAAATACAAAATAAACTTTACTAATGCCCGTAGACCATAATTTTCCACCTAGAAATATGAAAGTCACTAGCGTTGAGCAAGAAGCAGAATCTGGACTCTGTGGCTTAAAGTTACAAACATAGTAAACGACAAAAAAAAGCTTGTTAATAACCTCACGGACTTAGCTTAAGCTTGGTTAGTAAGAAACAATTTTGTTAATAGTGAAAAAAGATTAAAGTGAAGCTCATATATAACCTTATAGTCTCTCATATGTAACAATATAGTCTCTCATATCTAACCATATAGTCTCTCATATCTAACCTTATAGTCTCTCATATATAACCAAACAGTCTCTCATATATAAACATATAGTCTCTTATATGTAACCATATAGTCTCTCGTATGGTTATATATGAGAGACTATATTGTTAAATATGAGAGACTATATGGTTATATATGAGAGACTATATTGTTATATATAGTCTCTCATATATAACCATGGAAGTGATTGAATTATCATAGTTTTCCACAAAAGTTGGATTAATCGTTTGATGAGTAAAATGTTTTGAGTTAACTTATCGACTGAATAGTGTTTCGCGTCTACCTCGATTACCTCTATCTAATAAAGGCCAATCAACAACGTCCTGATGAAATTACACAACGAAAATATTGTCGTATGTTGAACAAATAAAGATTTAGGGAAAACAACAAGAACAACAACAATCCCACCCGAAAAAAACAACAACAATGTTTGTGTTTAATGTATGTACTATACCTTGGAAGTAGGGTATCAGCCGACACATGGCTTCTCCGAAGATAAACTCTCGAAGCAGAGCTCCGGCTAAAGTGAAGGGCATGCAGAAGACACCAAGAAGCAGATCGCTGATGGCCAGGTTCATCAGGAACACGTTGGTTACTGTTCTCATTCTCTTGTTAATGGCTAAAGTGATTATGACTAACGTGTTTCCTACGATAGCCAGCAGTAAAATAATAGTATAGAGGAGGATTAGACAAACTTTTTCCTCGAGGCTTACTGAAGAACGTACGTTCGAATCACCAGAAGTTTCGCTGTTGTTCGTTGACGAGTTTGTATTTATTGACTGGGCCATTGGATTTATTTCCGCAGTGTTGCCGACAGGCTTGTATCAGGATGACTGAGGTTTCAGTTTTGTTTTTCAATGAAGTTATATCCGAGGCAGTTTCTTCCTGTTAAGTATTTTCCACTTTATATCGGTCTTCTTGATCTTATCCCGAGGCTATAATTTTCTCTGGGAAATGGTACTTGTCACCTGTTCTTGAAAGAACGAACGAGAGCCCTTAACTAGGTTGTAATAGAATCTTGTAAATAAAAAGATAATTTTATCATCATTCTTTGCCAAGATAAAAGTAAATATAAAATATAAAAATATATTTCATTTCGAGAAATTAACTTAACATTTCACCAGAATGAATATTAAAATATATCTTAATGATTCAGATCAACACAGAGATACCGCATGTCTCTTACCACTGTAATATTTACCATATTATATTGGACTTTTATACCGTTTTTTTTTTCATCGGGTAAGACCTTTTTTTTTTTTTAAGACCAGTTAGTTCTGTTACTGTACTGATTTGAAATATGGCAGATCTAGATTTTGTTCTCAAGTTATTCAGCCAGCTTGTTTCTTTCAGAATATTCGCGAAAGGCCATACAAAAGGGGCTATCTGCACTTAGTCGTTCCTAGTTTCGAACCGAAACACCAGAGGGGAGGCATCTAGTAACCAGTACCAAACAACAATTATTTTCTACTCTTGTCTAATCGAATAGTAGGACTTGAACGTCGCTCTTTGAAGATCGCAAAAGGCAGAGCGAGTTTCTTTAACAACGGGATGCTAACCACGAATCTTCGGATTCACTGTCCGGGCACGCTAACACAAGGCTAGTTTTTCTCTGTCTGATTTCTGGACTGTCCATAAAATACTACAGTTTAACATTTTCGTAGGAAAATAGTCTCGGTGGCTCAGCGGTAAGTCTGAGGGCTTATAACGCTATAAATCGGGTTTTGATACCGGCTGTAGGAAGAGTACAAATAACCATGATATAGCTTTGTGCTCATTAAAAAAAAAATAAGCAAACGAATTTTAAATATTGAAACTTTTCTAAAAATTAATCATTATGAAGCCATTATGCAAAAACCTATTTGTTGGTTCTTGTACTCTCGAACCTTAGACTCTTCGAACTGCAGCTCAGCATATTAACTACTACGGCACTGGTTTTCAGGCATTTTCACATATTTTAAAAATATTGGAGCTCAAAGACATTTTAAAATTAATTTTTATAGAGGGCTGTATTTGAAAGATGGATGATCGTTTCTTTATTGGTGTGTTATAATATCTCTGTGTGTGTGCTCGCATTTCGTACAGACCAAATAAAATGCATTTAATATTCTGGGGCAGATGCTTATTTAACAGAGTTTTGTTTGTTTGTTTGTAGTTAAGCACAAAGCTACATAAAGGGCTATATGTGCTGTGCCCATTGCGAGTATCGAAACCTGTTTTTTAGCGTTATAAGCCTTCAGACTTACCGTTTCACCACTGGGGGACAGCATAATTTGTAAGGTAGTATTTATTATCATTAAAAGTAATTCTCCGAAATTACATTGCTTAAATCCGGGGTTCGATTTCCCATGGTGAGGGACAGCACAAATAGTTTATTGTGTAGCACCTATCAAAAAATTTCTTTTGTTTTGAATTTCGCTCAAAACAATTCGAGGGCTATCTGCGCTAGCCGTCCCTAACTTAGCAGTGAAAGACTAGAAGGAAAGCAGTTAGTCAACACCACCCACCGCCAACTCTTGGGCTACCCTTTCACCAACGAATAATGGGATTGATCATCACATTATAACGCCCCCACGGATGTAAGGGCGAGCATGTTCGGCGAGTCGAGTGCCATAGCCACCATGTTAGGCTTCGTATCAAAAGGGATGTCCAATAGCGAAATACAATAAATATCTTTCTAAAATCGTCATAATACTAGTGGAAAAATTCAATATATCTCATTATATTATTATTATAGGGTAATTTGACTTTTACTAGCTAGAAATGTTAATGAGAAAAAAAATTTTTCTCGCTAATGTGAAATAATTACGTGAAAGCAGGATATTTACAAATTCGTTTCTCATTCGAAACGGTGAAGAAATATCAAAAGAAAAAGCTGCTAAACGTTCTGCAGTAATTTCTAATCATAAAATAAAATCATGGTTGGAAATAGTCTTAACCAAGAAATTTTTGTTTTTATTAACCCTAAGATTTGTAATTGATTGTGCTGACACCAGTGGTTATTTTTGATCATGATAACATCCGGAAAATGGCCAACATAAGCAGTTAAACTGAATTACACGGATAGTTTCCAACAATAGTACCTTTGTGCTAATCTATTCATCCCTTGAAGAGAATTTTTCGTCTGAAAATGAGTTCTTCCACGTGTTTCTGTCAAGATTTTTGTGAAAGTCCATTGCGCCCTCCTGTGGCTTAGCGGTAAATCTGCATAGTTACAACGCTAAAACATTGGTTTTTTCGATACTCGTGGTGGGAACGGCACAGATAGCTAATTGTGAAGCCCATTTAACAACAAACAAAAGTTCATTGCATTCTGCAACGTTTTATAAAGATAAACCAGTAAATATACACTGGTAGAGTGTCCGAAAATCACGTTTACCATAGTATCACTTGCAAGTGCAAGACTGTGAGGTTTCTGTTTTCATAAAGTTTGGTTTGTTTGGAATTTCGTGCAAAGCTACTCGAGGGCTATCTGCTCTAGCCGTCCCCAATTTAGCAGTGAAAGACTAAAGGGAAGGCCACTGGTCATCATCACCCACCGCCAACTCTTGGGCTACTCTTTTCACCAACGAGTAGTGGGATTAACCGTAACGCTTCCACAGTTGAAAGGGCGAGCATATTTGGTGGGACGGGGATTCGAACCCGCGACCCTAAGATTGCAATTCAAGCGCCCTGATCTTGTTTTCATAAGATGCAAACGTTAGGATTAAGTCAAAAGAAGAAAAATACATCTCGGAGAAGAAAGATACTTTGTTATTCTCCTTGTAACCACTTTTATTGTTCAGTGACTGGTCAGAACGATCATTGTTGTTTCTGCTAAGTGTTCGGAGTTTCCTAGCTGTCAAGAACGTGTTAAAAATAATTCTTACGGTTCGAATCAATACAGAAATTAAATGACCCTGAGTAGAAGTAACCTTTCTTTGAAAAGACCTTTCACCAGAACTAAAACAATATCTAGAAATCTGTATTGCGTGTTTCGAATCAAGTGATCGAGACGTAAACTTAATATAAGTTTTTACCTGAGAAATTAACCGAACGGATTTTTCTCTTGTTTAAAAAACATGGCAATTTCTGTACAATAGACTCAAAATTTTAGGGTTAATGAAATAAGTTATATTTATTGTTGGTAACTGGGCCGGGCGTGACTTAAAAGTTCTCGAGCTACAGATGAGGACATCCAGTGTTCAATCTGTAATATTTCGATCGACTTTTCTTACTAATTCTTATGAATACTATCATAAGTTTAAAGGCTGCAATGTAAACTGGAGAGTTGTTGGTTTGTAAATAAACGAAATAAATAGTATATTATTATTTATAATTATTGTATTTTAATTATTTATAATTATTGTATTTTAATTATTTATAATTATTTTAATTTTCAATCCAAAAAATTGAACGCATTTTGAAAAATGAAGTATGCATGTAATAAGCTGCCGATACTCAAACCTAGTTATTTGTTTTCAGACGCCCCCTCCCCAGTGGCACAGCAGCGGACTTACAATCCTAGAAACCGGGTTTCGATACCCGTGGTGGGCAGAGTACAGATAGCCCATTGTGTAGCTTTGCCTTTAACTACAAACAACAACAACAACAACTGCTTTCAGATAAAAAAAATATTTTGGATGTACAAGACCATCACAACTCCAAAAGAAATGTTGACTTGATAACCGAGACACTATTATTTTCAAAAACAAATCGTCATTTTGATCACTGGCTTATCCCAGTCTTCTGAAGGCGAGGGACCAGCTCAATTTTCATCCAAACTGTGAAATTGGGCAACGATCGTGTTACACTTTCTGGGAGATAATGTCCAATCGATTTTTGAAGGCCTAAAGATCTGGAACGTGATAAGTTCTTTTAGGGGTGATGAGAAGATGAACGTATGGGAACAAATAATTCTGTATTCTATTATCCGAAAACGTCATCTTCGCTGTAATTGGTTGAAATATAAAACTGGCATTGCAACGAAAAAAAAACGCATCAAAAGTGGTTTACGTTCTAGGCTGCTGGCTATTGAGACACTTTTACATCCTGCGTTTAATAACTACATTAGAAGACCGATAAAGAAAGAAACTCGTAAATTTGAACAGAAGTTTTTGCGGTTTCTAGAAGTAATTAGAGGTTGAATTTGTAAACGCTACCTGACAGACGCGTTGTGTAAATAACCTTATTTAATGTTGCCTGGCATGACCCGGTGGTTATGGCACTCGACTTGCAATCTGTGGGTCGCAGGTTCGAATCCCGTCATCGAAAACACTCGTCCTTTCAGCCGTGGGGCTGTTATAATGTGACGATCAATCACTTTTTTGTTGGTAAAAAAAATAACCCAAAACTTGACGCTAGGTGGTGTTGATTGGCTGCCATCCCTCTAGTCTATCGCTTCAAAATGAGGGACGGTTAGCGCAGATAACCCTCGTGTAGCCTTGCACGAAATTCAACAAGTATAATTTGGTTTGTTTGCTGCGCACCGAGGGGAATCGAACCCCCGATTTTAGCATTGTAAGTCCGTAAGCGGGCCGATGACTCGTCGTAGAATCTTAATAAATATTTGAAATTCTGGGGGTATAGCATAATTTTTAGAAATAAGTTAAAATTTATATCTATATATATATATATGTACTTAGTTATAAACTGGGTTATATATAAACATAAGTTTTGTGTTTCATTATGTTTATGTTACTTCTTTTAATGTTTATATGGTATTTTTAATATTTATATGGTATTTTAACGTTTATATGGTATTTTAACGTTTATATGGTATTTTAATGTTTATATGGTATTTTAATGTTTATATGGTATTTTAACGTTTATATCCTATTTTAATGTTTATATGGTATTTTAATATTTATATGGTATTTTAACGTTTATATCCTATTTTAATGTTTATATGGTATTTTAACGTTTATATGCTATTTTAATGTTTATATGGTATTTTAATATTTATATGGTAT